AACTCCTCTGCACTTAGTATTAAGCCAGAAAGAAACCTCAGAAGGCCCCTTGGGGAATCCCCCCCCCCATCTGAAAAAAAGAAGTCTGGACATTCCACCGAAAATATTTATTTCAGATGTAAAGGAAAGAGTTTATTTGATCCAGCTGTATTTATGAGCAAACATGTGAAGATAAAAACACTTTCAGAAAGAGCCAACCAAATTTTTGAGCCAATTTTCCTGCATCCTGAGCTACTCATTAGACAAGTGGCCAAAATCCAACTGAATAATTTGCAAGGGTGAGCTTGGCTCCTACCTGTGTCATCTTTGGATCCATAAAGAATGATAAAGACATTGGAGTCTGTCCCGGCATTTTTCTTGTCTCCAGTTTTCACTCTCACTGAGAATGTAGTTGAATTAGCTGTAAAAAGAAGAATCTCCGTTTGGGAGGAGCCATTTCTGAGAAATTCTGGATTTTATTTCCCGTTTTGTTCCAAGTTTACAGCTTTTTTTTTTTAATGAAACAAGAAAGGTTTCATAAAAGTGAGCCAAAAGCCAGAGCAGGAAACCCCTTTATTAGCCCCAACTAACTAACATTGCACAGTGCAGTGAGGAAGATTTTTAATTTTTAATAAACCTTTTTCAGAGGAAAAAAAAAGGTGATCCAAACTATTAAAAAGGGGAAAGAGAGAAAAGAAAAACCTGGGCTTGATCAACCCCTCCCACTTTGCATCACCTTGGAATTTTGTTTGCTATTTTATTGGGGTTTAGCTCGTCCTTAAAAAGTGTATCACCATAATGACAAGTTTTACATACTCCACTAAACCATCATTTCGTTTGGCTTTAATTTAGCATGTGAATCCAGATATTCTATATAAATTCAGCCCTGGTTTATTAAAGAAACCCTGATTAACATAAGGAAGGGCTACCAGGCCTGGGCTGAAATATCCACTAGAAGGTAGCAACAAGGATTTTTATGGTTGTCTAGATTTTTTGCAGCCCAGAGTTTTCTGTAAGATGTGAAATGAGCCATTGTAGTTTGTACTTTCTCATGATAAAGAAGTGATTGCTCGTTGGCTTTTCTGTACAAAAAGTCCAATCTCCAATGTAACTAGGTAGGTATGGGAATGGCCTCTGTCTGGAGATTGCGGCTAATTAGGATAACTCAATATTTAAACTCCATTTAAACCGGATAGCCCTGTGAACCTTTAACATGTGTAGAATTTGTAACTTTACACACTGCCCATTAATCCACACCTTGAAGACTTATAGTTTCCCCACCCCGTAAAATAGAGCAGAGGCTTCGCTTGGTCATAGCTTCACTCTGCAAAGCATTCCTATAAACAGCCTCAATAGCACAAGTCAAACGATGGCATAAGTCTTTGACCTAACATCACCACACTCCCAAACCAGAAAGGATGGTTTCTTTAGGCTTCGTGCTACTCAGTAGGCTCAGTTTCTCCTTCAGCATCAATACGGGAGATAGCAAACCTTTCTGTTCCAGGCCGAGTGTTGCAACAGAGCCTGTGTTATCCGAATCCTTCATCACAAATGCTTCGGCCACTGGGACCAGCTCCCTGGCAATCTGACCATCATCTTCTTCCACTGCCAACCATCTCTGGCAGGGGAAATAATAACTGCAAGGATAATATGGTTTAGCATCTTCCTGCTCAGCCAGCTCCCAGTGAGTGACGCTGGAAAAACCCACTTTTCAGGAGGAGGAGCCCCGATATGATGGAATGGACTTATGAAGGCCAGGCTCAGGGAGATAAGCATGTTCTTAGTTCACCGCAAGAGCGTGGGAAGTGCAAGAGGATGGGGCTGGCACCTCCCTGAGGAATTCATGGTGTTGTGGCTGGCTGGCTTGGGAGCTGGGGTTTCAGTCTGGGAAGATTCTTGCTAGAGGTTGTAGTTAATAAACATAGCTGAACTGATTTTGCATTGTCTCTTGGAGTTATTTGGGCTAAACCTGACATCAATCTTCCCAGACTGAAACTCCAGCTCCCAAGCCAGCCAGCCACAACACCATGAATTCCTCAGGGAGGTGCCAGCCTCATCCTCTTGTAGTTCCCACGCTCTTTCGGTGAACTAAGAAAACGCTTATCTCCCTGAGCCTGGCCTTCATAATTCCATTCCATCACACCCCTTCAGCATAAGCTGATGGGCATCTTCTGGGCAGAATATACTCAGTAGAATAGAAAAATAGGTAAAAGTACAGAATTTCTAAGAGCAAAAGCATCTGGAAAGATCACAGGGGGGAAAATGGAGATTGTTTTTACATTTTGGTTCTCATCCTTTCCTGAACAGCTATTTAGAGTGGTGGAACTATTGGGGGAGGGCAGGGGACACATTTAACCAATGAATGGCATACTGGGGTCCCACTCCAAAAACGTAGGGGAGACAAGGATAAAAAACGAGTGGGGCCAAGGCAAATATTACACTTGACTGAATTTTATTGAAATGGTGCTCAAAGGAATGAATTAAACACTGTTACAACCTGGTATCACCTTTGGGAGGATTCTGGAGGGTCACACGCACACCTTGAGCAGCAGTATCCATGGGTGGGTGTGTGCATCAAAATCTGCAAGATGCTGGGCCCTGAGAGAAAAGCCCCACCCTTTCTGTATGTGCGGTGATGTCACTCTCCTAGAAAAGGGATGGGGCTTCAATTGTGATGCCACACGTGCCCTGCTGCAGATTTTGACACTCCCTGCATGACCGCGAGCTTACGTTCTATCTTTGGTCTTACACTCTGCCTAAAACAGGGCCATCTTATTTCTACAGGACATCTGACCTGTAAGTATATTGTTGCTGATAATAACAGTGATTGAATAAAAAGTTGAAAAGCAACACATCCCCCAAAGTCCCAGCAGCAGCTATTTTTCTTGGTAGTCACACTAAGAAACAAGTGAAGGGAGATGAACCAGTTTCCTGCTCTTGGACATGACTTGCTAACTGACAGCTGTGTTCTCCCCACAAGTTGCCTGAAAGTTTAGAATAGGAATGGGGTGGAAGCCAGGAGATAGATATTGCAACTGATGTCTGCACATGTTTTAAAACAGAAAGAAGTATGACAGAGTGAGGGTTAGGGTTAGGGTCCTTCCCTCTATAAAGGTGGAACTTTGCAGGGTCACCTCCAGTATGCCTCTGAGTACACCTTGCTGGGAAACAGAACAGAGGGATGCTGGGGGAACAGAAAGCTAGATAAGAAACATCTGATCCAGCCCAGCTCTCCTTAAAATAAGGTGGGCCAGTTATGGCCTGAGAACTACATGAGGCCCTCAGCTTAATTTCAAAAGACTTCTGGAACTGAATTTTGATGTACTTTCACTTCCCTACCACCTGTTGCTTGAGGAACAAGGAAATAATCTTAGAAAAAGAATGAGAGATTGAAAAGGAGAGGAGTCCAAAAGCCACTCCCCTAGGAACCCACCCTATGCTTGCTTCAAGTCTGGCCAACATGCACCCTCCCACTCCCACACATGATTAGTCCAGAGGGAATGCAGCTCTTGAAAGGAAACAGAACTCCTACGTAGTTCTGATCCTGATTTCACCAAATTGCATTTTAAGGGACTAATTTGGATTAGCTAAATGCTATGCCTAATCTCTCTTAACTCACGTGGTTTCCTCTTTGGTGTCAATGATGTCAATTCTCTCCAGGAACCAAGCTGGGTTGCTTCCAGAGTCATCATGCCGAATTCTTACTTTCTTGAGCTCTCCCAAGTCAATAGCTCTGACAGTGAATATATCCACCTGCAAGAGCACAAGAATGGGATTTCAGCTTTGTAGTGTGTGTTTTGAACCTATATATCTCCACTTTAAATATTAGCCCAGTACATTCCTATGTAGGTCCTAGGTCAGAAGCAAGTCTCACTAAATTCAGCGGGACAGGTCTGACTCTGTTGCTGGATGAGGGATCACCAGGACACCCCAGGGCCATAGGTTAGATTGATAAATTGAAAAAAAGCATTCTGGAAGGCAGCAACGGCAAATTATTCCCAAATTGTTGCCAAGAAAATAGAAAACTATCAAGAATTGAGCCTGGCTGAAAGGAAGATTTACCTTTTTAAGTGGGCACAAGGTTACAACCTTAATAATGGGCAATTAGGAATCGGCCAACTTTTTTCCCTCAAAATTCTCTGAAGAATCTGTGAATGTTGATACTGAAAATTACCTGAATATTCAGCTCTTTGCTAATATTTGACTTCAAGGAATATTGGCAAGGAAGTAAACAATCAGAGATAAGACTGTGTTCAGACAACTTGCTAAACCAGGACAGATAAAACTTAGCAGATGTATTTGCACAACTTGATATGCATAATTAGTTTTGGTTTATTTGTTGTGTTGTGCAAATCCTGTTTATAGTTCAAGATATTAGATCACTAACTAGGAGAAGTGCGTTATGTGAATCCAGCTTGGTGACTTAGAGTTGTGGGGTGAGGGTATTAATGGAAATAGTCTTTCCCGATGAAGACTTTCCATCAGCCTGTTCCTTTTCAAAATGCTACAGAGAGTAGCAATAGTAATTGTAGTTATTATATTTATTATGTCCTTATAACTAAGTGCAGTACAGACAGAACAACAAATAAAACAATAATGCATTACAATTAATTGGACATGGAGACCTCCTGAATGAGGAAGACTGGTGTGGAGAGAAGAGGACGTCTATTTATATTTATTTTTTTCTGCACATACTTATAGAAAAGTTTGAATACATAAAATATCGGAGCCCTGCTCCCTTTGTAAAGCATTAGTATAATTTTGTCCTTAAAAATAACTACTGAAGAAAACTACTAAAGATAATCACTGAAGGGACTTCTTACCTTTCTTTAAAACAACTTTGATATCAATGTAAATCTTTATGTGAGAGGCTACTGTGAAGGCCTTTTGTTTCTGGGATGAGCAACAACCTAATTATCTCAACTGAAGAAAGCATGTTTCTTTTTAAGGAGCATTTACTGAAAACAGTGAACGTGGGAAGGCACCACTTTAGCTCAGTTTTCTCCAACTAGATGCTAAGCACGGGGGCTGGATCTCCTAGAATTTCTAAACAGTGATGCTAATTGAGAATTCTGGGATTTATTGTACATATCTGGAAGACACACAAGTAGGGAAGCTGACAAAGTTCAATGATCGCCTTTGCACCCACAAGGTCTCAGGTTAAGCCCTGATATTTCTATCTTAAAGAAAGCTAAAGATCTGAACCAATGGTTTTCCTGGAGATTTTGAAGAGTTCCTGATAATTGGAATAGTGGTTTGAAGGTTCACTTTAAGGCAGCTTTGTATGTCAGCAAACCCATAGCAGTTCTGATTTTTGGCTCCTTACCTGATCCTTTTCAAACTTGTTCAGATTATTTGAGTGCTTCAGATGACGCTCACCACTGTCTCCTCTTTCACCATAGATGCTCAAGTAAACATTTGCATCAGTACCAGCTCCCCATATCATCCCAGTTATAACATGGACTTCGTAGATGTTTGCTAGAGAGAAAGTAAATTATTAATATGTAAGTCAAGTGGTCCTCAGACATTTTTTGCTGAAAATCTGGTTTCTTTCACTAGGAACCAGTACAACGAGCTGAGCTCTTTTTCGAGAAGTGGGTTCTGTTCATTGATGCCTTACCCTTAATTTCTGCTGTTGCTTCCTTTGCTTAAAACGCAGATAGGCTGCGGCTAAGTAAAACAGTGGGATCATGGCTGTTCAGCATCTCTTTCCATCCAGTTCCTTTTCTTCATCTCAAAAGAGAGTTGGTGTTGAGGGTGGCCTTGTTAGAGACTTATTAAGGCCCATGCTCCACTATGTTCCTAAGCCTGACTCCAGGAGCACCTTTTTCTTCCTTTTTCTACGTTGGCCTGTTCACCTAATCTCTACAAGCATCCAGAGAACATCCAGAGGAAAGAGAAAGAACTGAAATCTCAATTCAACACGCCTTGGGGGTGACAATGCAGGACAACCTAGACCATGAGTGCAAGCAAATGGGCAGGGTAAGCAGGTGGGCCTATTGGGGAAACTTTGTCAAGATTTGCCAATTCACCTCTGCAAGCTGATCTGAGACTTGGGGAAGGAAAGAGAAGTGAATAGACTAGGGCAGCATGGCTAGCTGGGGAATTCTGGGAGCTGAAGTCCACATATCTTAAAATTGCCAAGGTTGAGAAACACTGGTCTAGGGGTTGGGTTTCTTCCCTCATTAAAGAAAAATCAGGTTTGTGGAAGAATGATTCTGAGACAATAATACCCTGGAAAGGGTTTATTTATTTATTTTTATTTATTATTAAATTTGTATGCCGACCATCTCCCCCCAACGGGTGACTCTCCCCCCAATGGGTTAAGTTAGCTTTCCTCACACAGTCTCTTCCACCTTGCATCCAGGCTGTTATAAAGAAACCACAGAAGCAAAGAACAGTGGAATTTCGTGTAGGATATGATTTGAGCCTTTAAAACCTCAAAACAGGTATGGTTGTTGGGTTTTTTTGTCCTGGCAGAAATTGCACTTAGTTTTTTAAAATGCTTCTCAGCTGTTGAAGAATGAGCAAGGTTAATGAGGACAGGCTGCAATCCCTGGAGAGGTGGGGCTGAAATTCTTAAACCCCCTCTTTTTTTCTTTTTCTTTTTTTTTTGCACTTAGGTGCTTTGGGATTGCACTTAAAGCAAAATATGAGTATTGTGCCTCAGGGAGGCTAAATACATTTCTTTCAGTCTTTTTCCCTCATAAAGAAGACCAGAAGGTATCACCAAAAATCACAGTTTTCATGCCAAATTTTGGTGGTGAGTACATATGGAAGCTCCAAGGGCTGTAAAAACAGATCTAGAGGGTTGTGTGTTCATCACAACAGTATCTCAAACCTGGACTTGGATGGATCTCTGGAATGTCCTAAAACAGCTGTCCAACATGCTGCGGGTCCTGTCCGCTAGGGATTTACACTTGGCAGGTCCCAGGAGGCAGGCCTTCTCTGCCGTGGCACCCGCCTTATGGAACATTCTCCCTCCTGAAGTGAGGTTAGCTCCATCCTTGTTAATGTTCTGCAACTCCCTCAAGACCTGGCTATGTCATCAGACCTGGGGGTCCCAGGGACTGGTAACATTCTAAGATGGCTCCATCATTGCAGTTAATATTCACTCTCTCCCGTGGCTTTTTATATGTTAATAATTATTGTTTTCTATTTTTATTCATAACTGGTTTTACATATCGATTGTTTTATTAATTGTTGTAGGCCACCCAGAGTCACTTTTTGTGAGATGGGCCTTCTAAATTTGATAAATAAATAAATGCACCTCAGTAGTTCCTAAGTTGTGTTTCATCCAGTGAGGAGAAGCCTCAAGAAAGCAACTATGCAGAAAGATCATTCTCACTAATACACTTTTTTTTTAAAAAAAAAAGTACACCGTTTCTGTCTGAAGTGCACATTCAGGTTTTGGTTAGGAAAATACTTGATCTCACCAACTGAGACCCTGAAGCAACATTTCTCACACAATGTCCATTTCACACAGCTTGCATTCCCTTGAGGGCTGAACCAGGATTCCCCATACAAGAATGGCCAGGTCATTTTGGAGGAGGTTGGGGATTTCTACAAAGCTAAAGCATTCCTTTTGCCCCTTAAACATCCAACACTAACAATACAAACCAAAGATCTCTCTCTCTCTCTCTCTCTCTCTCTCTCTCTCTCTCTTTTTTTTTTTTTTTTTTTTT